GCACCTGGCCGGGCGGGGTGCACCGCTTCACTGGGGCCGCTGAGCCGTGTGCGCGCCGCGCGGGCCGCACCTTCGGCGCCCGATCACGCGGAGGGGCCTGGGTGCCGTGTGGCACAGGGTACCCAGCCTCCAGGCCTGACCCTTTTCAGTTTTCCACAGGGGGCTGCCCCCTCTGACCTTTACACCCTTGTTAGGGGAACCCAGCCCCTGCGACCTCATCATCTTCTCCACCCCTGGACCCCTTGCCACTGATCCCAGACTCCCCCCTTCCAGAATCCCGTGCGCAGTATCCCCTCCCACTCATGTCCTTGACTTGGCAGAAACGGGAGAAACAAAAGGGAGTTGTGTGCAGAGGACCGAGTGCAATGGGACCTTGGCCTCCCACCCACATATCTTTCCCTGTCCCCCCACATGGGCCTTCAGTCTCCTTTCTGCTGTACATAGCACCTCGCCAGCACAGGCCTCTGCCTCCTTCCACCTTCCAATCTCCACCTGGGGGGATCCATGGGCACATTTGTCAGGGTCCTTTGCAGAAAACGCTAGTGCTCCCCACAGCCTGCTGGTACACCCCACTCCTGGAGTGGGCAAGTAACTTAAACTCCTTGTGTTGAAGTGGTCCCATTAGCATAGAGTACCCCAAAGGAAGCATCGTTTTAGGTGATGGGAAGACGGCTTGGAACACTGTTGTAGGCAGCGGGAAGGGCACCAGGTGTGAGGCTGGTGGGGTCCCACAGGACCTGGGTTCAGCAACATGGATACTTGAGATCTGGCTAAGAAAAGATCCAGAGCCAAGACCCAAACTATAGGAGAACATTTATTTGGAAAATCACAGAGGTAGAAGAAATAACTTGTAGAAGAAATCAGCTTAGGAAACAAGTTACAGAGGCAAAGGAAGGGCCCTTGGGGTTTGTCAGTGAGGGAGCTAATGGTAACCCGCCTGGGGGTGGGGAGGGAAAGGCAGGCATTGTGGGGGAACAGGGAGAGTTCGCTGGGTCCTCTTCCTAAGGGTTTTAAGAGTGGAGATTTTAGGGGAGGTCCCAGCCAGTGGAAGATCCCCATAGACTATTCAGCAGCTTTCCAGGTGTGTCCTTTCAGGGTCAGGTCTCCACTGATTGACTGGAGCACCAGGGCAGGGGGTCATTATTCAATGTACCTGGTCCACTGAGGTCAGCCATGGGGTCGCTGGTCTGGTTTTGCTGCTTTTCTGGGCCTGGAGCTGAAATACAACTGAGGCCTAGATGTTATCTCTAGGGACGAAAGGTCAGGGGGTCCAAACCATAAGACCAGCCAGGGGAGGAAAAAGTCACCCTGGGGGCGAGGTCCCACCCTACAATTGTCCCTTGTTAGACACCCAGGGCTTTCTGCCCCGGTGACCTTCTGTACCTGGCCCATGGTCCTTGCTCTGCTCATGCCTAACTGCCTGCCACAATATCACTGCCTCCTAGTGATGACACAGCATTTAGTGTTAGGCCATGTTTTAATAACTCTGGATCTTTGGACCCTCACAATAACCTTACAAGGCGAATACTTTTATGTATGAGCCCTTTTCGCTAATAGGACCACTTCAACACAAGGAGTTTAAATTACTTGCCCAGGTTGACATAGCTGGGAATTTGTATACTCAGTGGAATCCAGTAAAGCTTCCAAGGGAAGGAGAAGGTCCCTGAGTCATCAGCCTCTGGCCGAGGTCTGTTGACAACACTTCTCTACTGCTTGAAGCCATTTAAACAAGAGAAAGCTCAACTGTGGCAGCAACACAAGTGAACCATAGTGAAATATATAGATATTTATAATAATTATATATAATAATTGATAACAATATAAATATTTATAATAAAAATAGTGATATAATTATGCTATTATTAGTATAACAATAAAATTGTCTGGCTCTCTCCACTGTCTCGCATCATACAGTTTCTTGCTATCAGTGGTAAAATAGTTTGCTTTCTATATAAATATATTTAAGAGAACATGAATCATTTCAAAGTACAATGTGAAGGTGGTAGAAAAAGTAGCAGGTTTCTTTGGGTGTCTGAGAAGACACAGGGCATCTTCCTCATGACTGGACATTTTTTGTGTCGATCACAATTTGGTGGAAGAGTGAAGGACTCTGGTCTTCAGGTCACATCCTCATGGGGTTGATGAGGACAACACAGGACACACCAGTCCTGGCTTTGTCTAGAGGTCAATATTTTCCCCCTTGGCTATGTAGAATAGTCATAAAACAAGAAGCTAGTATTGTAGACCACTCACCACATGCCAGGGCTCGTGTAGGTTCTGTACATGTTCATTCCCTCCTCTGACCCATACGGTTTATTTTGCCCCTTTACAGCGAAGGAGACTTAGCCACATAGAGTGTATGTCACGCGGTTCTCCGTGACACAGGTGGGACCTGCACTGCAGGCTAACTGCAGCATCATGTCTCACCCACCACTCTACCCCCAGATTTCCCACGGAAGACAAAGATACTGAAACCTGGCTTAGAGGCCTTGTGGCAAGAACACACAGCTGGAGCCTGCATAGTGCTGCAAGCTCTCTGGGCTTCAGTTTCCCATCTCTCAAGCCAGGGGCACAAACGGTCCTTCTCGGAAGTCCCTTCTAATTGTCATTGTGAGAGGCAGGGTTTAGCATCCGGTGACATCATGATCAGCTAGCAGTGGCCAGGGAGTGAAGCCACCTGCAGCATAGGTTCACACCTGTGACTTCTTGGGCAGGTCGCTTAACTGCTCTGGAAAATGACACAATCACTTTGGCCCTTGCATTTTCACTCTCCCTGGCTCCTGTGTGGATGAAATGGCATAAAGGGTGGGAAAGGCTTTTGTGTCTACCCAAATGCTGTGGCAGTGTCTTGTCCCAGGCTGCTTATTACAGGAGGTCACCTATATCTTCCTGGCACCAGGTCAGCAAATTTTTAATCCCACCCTTACCGTCCAATCCAGAGTAATGCTTCTAAACCAACGAGCCTTTCTCCAAGAACTTTTTGGGAGCTAGAAGAGATTCTCTTCCCACGAATGTCATTGCGATCATAGCAGCCACTGTTTATTATGCCCTAGCCTGGGGCCAGGACACTATCACTTCTTTCTCACTTAGAGATATAATCTCCTTTCTACAAATGGGAAAATGGAGGCTCAGAGAGTTTCAGCAACTTGCACAGGACATACCACTTGTGCAAAGTAGGCTGTGAACCAGGATGCATGACACTAAAACCCGTGCACTTGGCACAGACTGGCTTTTGTGATTCCTTCCTCACACAGAGCCTTGCAGGCAAGCACGATCCTGACTTCTGGTCCACATGACTTGTCTTTCTCTTTGATTTTACATCAAATAGCAACTCTCTCCACAAATAGCCAGGGGGGACTAACCGTTGTCATTAATTACACATTACTGTCTCCAAACTGCAGAACCAGACATCACTCTGCACAGGCTGACAGGAAGTCCTTCATCTGGAAATTCTCAGGCACCTCCCTTTTGCTAAGAAAAGCCCAGGCAATTCCTTCCAAATCCCTAGACACTTTGCTGGTTCCAAACAGCCAAGAGCTGGATTTTGGAGGAGGGCCAGATTTCAGTCTGCCCTAGGAGGAACTTGCAAAGATTCAGAGCCAAGTTCAACCTGGGAGCTCTCAGGGGAGCAGGTGTCACGGGGCGAGCCAAGAGTGACCCTTCCCTGTGGGGGCATTGGGAGCAGTAGTACTCCAGGTGTTTGTGGTCCACACATCGGGGCGTTTATGAATTGTTTCCAGTGCTCATTGCACACTTCTGATGAGCCATGTGCAGCTTTTTAAAATGGAAAAATGTGGGTTTGTATTGCTCTTTTATGTCATTTCATGGTAATTATTTACCAAGATTTAGGTCTGGGATAGATAGGAGAAAAAATAACTCATTCACTACAAGGGTTTTAAAGCCCGCATCAAGCAAGTGGGGAGTTGTTTTCCACCCTATTTACGTTCAAGCCTTAAATCCAGTGAGGTACTGAAGTGGGACAGGGAAATCAGAGAATGAGAATTCTGGACTAAGAGGCTTCTGTACCATCAATGTTGGCATGACAGGAGAGGGGATCCTGTATCCACCCAAGGCCCTCACAGCCTCTCAGTGAGGCCACCTGGCTTGCCTTGAGGCTATTAGGGATTAACACCTCAATCCGGACTCCAGGTCTCTTCATTTCCCACCCAATGCCCCAGCCCGGGTGGGTACACCAAGGAAAACAGAGTCAGAATAAAGTAAAAAACTTTTATTATCATTCATGTGCTTTACAGAAAAAAGAGGGAATGTAGCAAACGGATCAGGGTTTTACAAAAAAATGCAGGTTCATACACATGGCTCTATTTACACGGGGCAGCAGGCTCTCCCCCACATCAGGCACAGCAGCTGCACTTGTCCGATGCTCCTTTGCAGATGCAGCCCTGGGCGCACTTGGCACAGCCCACGGGGCAACAGGAACAGCAACCTGGAGAAAGGGAGGTGGCGGCAGAAATGAGCGCTTGGGATACAAAGATTAATAAGGAATCCTGTCCTTCCAGATGAGGGGGCTATTGTGGAGGTACCACCTTCCCTAAGGGGTGCCAACTGCCCTGTTTAAATTCCCCTCTGGGTGGAATAGAGGGTGGGCGCGGGAGGGGCATTAGGAAGTAGAAGGGAGGATTCCACTCACTCTTCTTGCAGGAGGTGCATTTGCAGTCTTTGCATTTGCAGGAGCCGGTGCAGGTGCAGGAGCCACCTGCAAGAAGAAAGACAGGTGAAAATGGTCGCTGGAGACCTGAAGACTGAAGGGGTGCTAGGAGCCTGGGTTCCAGTCCCAGATGCCCAAGGAACCCAGCTCCACAACCATTCAGTAACCAAACGCTTTAAGAAAAAGGCCATTAGTAAGGACTCTGAAACCCGGTGATTAAGGAGAGCAGGAGGGGTCCGAAATTGCTTCTCTAGCTCTACAACCCACACTGGGCATCCCCAGCTCCAGACCAGGTCCACTTACCGGTGGCGCAGGAGCAGTTGGGATCCATGGCGAGCTAAAGTGGTGGCTGGAGTCCTGGGACAGATGCAAGAACGGATCGCCGGGACTCGGAGGAGGCGCGGTGGAGGGAGCGCGCGGAGGGCTTCCTTTATAGCCGGATGCAGCTGGGTCGAGTGCAAAAGCCCGCCGGTGCCGGGCGCCGGCTGCACACGCCCCTCGATGAGTCAGGGGCGGCGGCGGGGCGCACCGGGCCGAGCGCACCGGGCCGGGCGCACGCTGCTGTGCA